GCCCCCCAAACAAAACAAGTGCTATTAAATACAGGGCTCTCGGGTGAAAACACGGTGATTCGAGCAGCCCTTGCTTAGGAACTCTTACGGATCGATCTGAAACACCCACTGATGCTTGAGGTATCTACAGATCTCTGTAGAATGGGTATTTATTTCACAGTTAGGTTAGAGTTTTCTTGGATGGTGCACTCTCAGACAAGTGTGGCTGTGTTTTTAACAGGTTTCTGAGAAGAATCAGTGGGGAGAAATTGTTGAAGAGTTCAACTTTCCCAGAAGTTGTTCTAACGCTGCCTTTGCTTTAAAACAGTATTACTTGCGGTGAGTAGTAGTGACTCTTCCACAGTATTTGGAATCGAGGGACTTAAGGGGAGATTTGTTTTTAGCCAAAAGAAAGCCCCCAAACAAACCTTGCACAGCAGACAGTCTCTAAACTTCTGTTCATTTTTTCAGTCTGAGAAACATCAAATACCCATAAAGCGAGGTTGTAGGAAGGTGAAAGTTTTCCTCATCCATTTTAGGATTGTTTACATTTTTCATACAGGATCTTTACAGGTGACACCCTACCCCCCATCTTGGTAAACATTCTTTTGTGACATTGTTATTGATGGCTTGATATCCACGGAGGGGCAGAGAGGTGATGCTTAGTAAAAGAGTTAAGATAGTTAATGAAACTTTGTATCCCTTGGGAAAATTTTTCTTTGCCTTCGAAACTCCTTTGCCTTTTTAAAATCCTGACTTTAAGATTTTTAAAAAATGAAACCTCTTGTGTGGAACCGTGTAACGGAGTGGTTTTTCAGTAGAATATTTCTACACTGCATAACGTGTTGGTGCCTTAGGTGACCCAGGAGAGTTTTTAGAGTAAGTTCTTTGGAATTTTTGAGTGACTTCAAAACGTTCCAAAGGATTATTATATATGTAGGAAGATTACGAAGTGGAGTACAATGATTTCGATTTTCTTTTCATTTTCTCCCTCCTTTGACTGTATATGACAAAGTAAATTGTTTGTTCAGTTGATAATGTGATACACTTCAGAAAAGATATTTCCTGATTAAGCTGTATTATTATTTTTTTCTGCTAGGAATATTTTCATATTGTAACCTGTTATGAGGTCATCTTTCATTTTTAATGCTTACTTACTCATAGAGGGTCCTTAGTTGGTGGTGGTTATTTAAAACTAAAATAATGCTCTTCATATTTATTGCTTTTTGATAATGATATTAAGGGATGGCCTTTTTTTAGTTAATGTAGCTTCTGCATAGATTGAGCTTGGCACTTCTCATTGCTCCAAATGCAGTATCCAAATGTAGATACTCTGTCTTAAGTTCAACACTCTGAAGTAGGAAATGCAGTAATTGCCCAGGTGTGCTTTCTATTGGCTATCTTAGACTGACTTCAGGCTTGAAGCTGAAGAGTTCACAGAACTTTTTGGATAGTTACTGAGTTGCACAGAAGTCTAGAAAATATTAAATATGGCTAGTTGTTATTTACTCTAGTTTGTCTGTGATGGCTGTAGGTGTGAGTGCATTTTTAAATAAAGAGCTAAAGCGAAAAACAAAGTAAAATTAAATTAACCCCCCAAAACTGTTGATTTGGTGAGAAGTAATGTGGTGAGAAGTAGAGAATTTTATATTTATGGTGCTACTCACTTGCCCATTTCCATTTATAATATTGAGAGGAATATTATTCATACAGGTCTTGGTCTTCTGATAATCAGTTTGAACTGTTTGGATTTTAAACTGTTTTGTAACACAGTTTAAAGTTATGCCTAATATTTATTGGATTGATTGACTGAAATTTAATATCCAAAAGGTACTGAATGATATATATGGTTCGTGAGATGTTTTTCTGAAGAACTTACATGCATACTAACCAAGTTTTAGCATAATCAATTAACTGCCTCGAATTCCAGTTTTTTACAAGTTACATAAATATTGTTTTTTCCAGTAGTGATTTCTATCCTGAGATCATATCATTCACTGATAATACTTACAAGTACTGTTTTTAAGTAAATAGTTTCAGGGTTGTTTGCGACTCTTCACATTGTTCTTATATCAATTTGAGCTTTATTCTCCTATTAGAAGCTGCTTTTTGAACTATGTCCTTAGCTAAACTTGTTTTTCCTCCATATGTCACTCTCCAGGTTTGTTTTTGTAGGGTTGTAGCTAGGCTACTAGGAAAAAAGTTGAAGCATTTGTTTTGGAAAATAAAACCATGTGAAGATTTGTATGGCTTGTAAAGAAATACAAGAGAAATATGCTGGTCAAAGATTGGGTACTACCAACCTTGAAAGATTTTTTTCCAGAGTGGTGTAATTAGAGGACATGTATTATGCTGGGTTTTACACCTTCCTCTGAAAAATCTTAACTGGCAGACAGGATGCCAAGCTTTCACAGTAATTCTGTGACTTAACTATAAGAGTTCCTCTTCATAGTAAGAGATAGTAATGAAGTGACTTTGTGAGTTCCCTCTTTGATATATCATGTTGAATATCATGGTTTCTGATGAGCAGATAATGCAGTGTGTTTTGTAAATCACAGGTAGAATATTTTTTTAAAATAAGAACTCCTTTTTCATTTGACCTATTGTAAGACTGTTATTATATATGTTAGTTCTCATTTACTCTACAAGTTTAATACTTGCTGACATTCCTCTGTAATTTCATTATTAATTAGATGGATGGCTGTTAGCCAGATATAGCCAGTATTAAGGAAGTTATGATGTAACTTCATGGTATTACAGACACTTAAATAAAGAAGACCAAACTAGTATGCTGGCCATGTATATATTCTAACATTTCTATGTTTGTTTTCATACAAACATAGTCATTGAATGTAGAAACTGGAGTTTAGTGGTCTGCTAAAAGTTTGCTTGATTGTATCAAACATACATTTATTCATTTGTAGATTGAGTATAAAAATTTCTCAAAGTCTAAAATTGAAAATGCAATTGACGATTTGTTGTAACATTGGCGTTTAATGTTTTAAATGTTAGTGCCTACTGGTAATGAGTAACAGTACTCGATATTTAAAAATTGGGTATTAATCCTTTATGATGTACATATATTTTGTTTCCACTTAGTTCCTTTCTTGGCCTGTACATCTCAATTTCTTCCACAAATGTTTATTATTAGGATATCCCTATAAGTATAAAATGGTAAGGGAATATTTCCCACATTTTATGGTTGGAGAAATTAAAGTGCAAAAAAAAAAAAAAAAAGTCCAAGTGACTTTAGGGGCATTTGTTAATTGGACAAAAAAAGTTGTATTCCTGACACATGTTCTGTAACGTTTAATCAGTCTATTATCAATTCAGTTTGTTAGTCGCAAATGATTTTAAGAAATTAAAATATGGTTGAGAGTTACATATGGTTAAATGTATGGCCAATATACACAATATGTTCTATATTTATTCAGTGAATTTTATTTTGTTTTGTTTTGGTGCAAAGACTGGGGGGCAATTTACTACTGTTAGTCCCATTTAAAAATTTGAAGCCTTGGTATGAAAATTTAGGTAACTATTTCAAATACTTAGTTGAAGAATTTTCTTGTAGCTTATGCCAGCATTACTATAGCTATAGTCAAGGTTCACTTGATATTTCTATTATAAAACTTGATTTTTTGGAAAGGAGGTGAAATATCTTAGACATTAAAAAAAATATTGCACGGAACTAATATGAAATGATTTTTTTTACATGTACCTACCTTTAGAGTAGTCAGCAACTTCACTGTAGAGTTGTACCCACCAGAGTGAATTTTCAATTGCATTGTGAATTTATTCTATTTTTCTCCCCTTGGTGAATAAAGCCCTCCCTTAGATTATACCAACAGGAAGAGTTTACATTTATCAATTAGATAGAATGAATACACTCATATGTTCTGTAGTTAGTGTATACCATGTACGTTATCTCTTTTAAGAGAAAGCATTTAATGAATCTCTTTATGTTAAGTGAAGCAATGCTTCAAAATTGTAATAAGCAAGTAAATAAAGTAATACTCTGAGTTTGTGAATTGCTAAACAGAATTGGTAAGCAGACATTACTCGCTTTTTTCAAGGAAGAAAAAGAGAAGTAATATAGAGATTGAAAGGACAACTGTACTTAAATAAATTATTCGTGTATGTATTTTAAATTTAATTTTATAAACTGTATTCTTTCATTTTGAGCAAACCTGATTTTGATCTCTTCTGATAGTCTGTTACATTTTAAAGGGCATGCAGACTTGTGGAAAGGAGTAGAAAGTGGAGAAGGTTGTAAGACTGATCAGAGTTCAGCCAGGTTAATGTTGTGTCTTAGAAATCGTGTTTAAACAGCTCAAATTTGCCCCAAAGTAGAAATAAATCTCACTCACTCCAAGATAGTTCATTCACTGAAGACACATATTTTACTGAGGTAACCAACTAGGAGCTTAACTATAACTCCCAAAAATGTTTGTGGTTTTTTACATAACATTTTCTGCCTTTAACTAAAAGTGTGTATTTCTAAATAGGAGCATTCTTTTGTAAACCTACCTGTATTCTGTTGTGGATTCAGTATTTTCATAGTTGGTTGTGTGTGAAATCCACTAGAACTGATAGAAAAGCATATCACTGCAGTGAATCCTTCATATTGCCAAACTGAGTAATATTGGAAGTTTCAAAAGGAATGAAAAATAAACATTTTGATTCATTGGAATTTAGGTATATTAGTCTGCAGGCAAGTATTCAATACATATTTTTAGGTGAAGTGTTTAGAACTTTTCTTAATATTTGGTGAAGTCTACTTACTGGACATGTTCCAGAGTGGTATAGACTTTACTAAAGTTTACTGGTGTAAATGGGGTTTGTCCGAATTGGGAATTAGAGGACATGTGGGGCAGAGTGAGTGGGATTTTCTCAGTCTTTGCTTCTTTGACCTGCCACCGCCATCATTACCATACTCCTTGGTATTCAGGATCAATTAGAGTAGAAATTCTCAATTTGTGCCTTTTAAATACTTGTTTTCTTGAAATGTCAGTGTGTTTCCTTGAAAAAAGACCGAATGAATTTGAGCAGTACAGCTAAATTTGGGTTAATTGCAGGACTTCTTAGAGACTTTATTTTGTTAATGTGCATATGGATCTCTACACAGTTTGGAGAAAGTCCATTTATTACCTCCTTTCCCCCAACCACAGTAAATGGTGTTTCCCTGACACTCCCACACACCGCAGGAATGTGGTACCAAACCCCATGTTTGAGGAATATTTGTAGGTTCTTTGGAGCAGTTTGGGAAGCTCTGAACTGGAAGAAATAAGGGTTAAGGAAGAGAAATTTTAAATATAGAAAATAATAAGGAAATGAGAAAT